AAATCATCTTTTCATGAGCCCCGAGGGGGAGTAGAGGGTCATTCTTTCATAGGAATAAATTTTTTCTCAAAAACTTTCGAAACATGCATAGATCGACTCAGTTTTTAACGCTGATTCCGAATATGACATTGGTTTTGATTCGATTTGTTGTTTTGTGACGGAAAAGGGGCTAAACAGGGGGCAAAATGCATAAAATCGTGCTCTAAGATCAATGTGTCTCGGTATGGCTCAGGTGATCAAGCGTTTTGAGCTTGGAAAATATATAGTTTTGTAGCTTTCGAAAAGAGCTATCGAATGGTAAAAACCCGAACCCGATAGCTATGAATATTGGTGAATTATTATCAAAATACCGTGGCATATATCTATCATATATCCATGAAGTCGACCCATGCTCTTGAACACGCTTGGTGCAAGTAAGGAATCAATTTAAAATATCCTATCTAAGTCAGTTTTTTAAGCTGAACACGAATCTGAAGTCGATTTTCGTGATTTCTGCAGAAATTGTATGACCTTGTGGGGTAGAACCAATGGTGGCTACGTAGGGTAGGGGACAGTGTGGTCCATGCTAACTTGGTTTCCTAGTTTTTTCGTCTTGACAATTTAACGTCAAAAGATGTATCTTGACAAGATCTATGTCTGGTAAAAAAAGAAGTTTGGGGTCGCTTGCACCACCCAAGAAAAGCCCAAAATACTGCTATATCAGAGTGTAGAATTTCTTGGAATTTTGAAGGTTTTTGTTCTATAGCGTTTCTTTTATCCCAGATATAAATCATCGAAATAGGATAAATTTGTAGCCTATACTGCTCCCTATCTAATGTGATGTGCCCGATCTCAAACGGTCAAAGCATTCATGAGAAAATGTCAAAATACTGAGCACACCCATTTTTACCGGATTTTTAGGGTCAAAATTGACCCCCTTACACTTGTTTTAGCTCGCATTTTTCATAGGTAAAACCAAATGACCTAATATTTTGGATTTGACTATAGATCATCTTGGCCTATCATTTAAGAAAATAAAATCGAGAAAAAAATTTTTTTCCCCGGCGACCTAGGGTGATCCTCTCGCGGACCCTCTCTTAAGTACAGATAAAAATCTTTTCAAAGTATTTTTGAAGTATCTTTCTTTGGTATAAGTACTCTTTACTGGCACCTCCCGCTTTTTTTGTTTTTATAAGGTCGCGATAATTCAAAATTCGAGCAGTTTTAATTTTTTTGATTTTTATACATGATTAGATGCAACTCGACGAGCTGAATCCGAATATGTATACTACATCCAGAAAAAAAAATTTTTGATGTCAAAAACCTGAAAATACTGCAAAAACTCAAGGTCCAGAAAATCTAGCATTTTGAGAGAAAAGTGCCTACAGCTCTTTTACAAAATTTGTTATAGCTTTAAAAGACTTTTTTTCTTAATCTACGTCAAAAACTGATTCTAAAAATGTAGTTTCTGATCATCCAGCTCCTGTGCGTATGCTTGACAGATGTCGGTCATATCAATAGGTCGAAACAGCACTTTGTCCCAGGAAAAAGGCATCAAGTCATTTTTAAATAGAGATAGAGCTTTTATTTTACCGTCGTTTGATTTGCCACGTCGAGCTGATAAAAGTTAAGCATTTTTTTCCTTTAACTCACTTTCTTTATTGAGATATGACATTTACATTCATGATATCGCTAATCGACTAGTGAGTTCGGGAGGTCAAAAAAACATTTCAACTCAATGTTGGTTTTTCAGACTTTTTTTAGGTTAAAACCGATCAGGAATTCAATAGTGGTGGTTTTGAGATGTTTTAGAGTGACTTTAGAGACCTCAAAGTCATATTCGGCTGCTGCCATCTGTAAATGTTAACCTTAAATGTATGAACATAGTTGACAACTGAACTCATTAAACATTATCAGTGTTCATGCCCTAGTTTCAATCCTGTTCATTCCTTGAGAAACCTTGGAAGGATCTTTTAGGATCCTGAATCTTAAGGATCTTGTCAAGTTTTTATTCAGGATCTTGTTTCAAATCCTTAGTGTTTCCTGTCTCCGGGATTTTTAAGGTAAGACAAGATCCTGTTCACGATTTCTTCAAGTTCCTGCTCAGATTTTTTTTGAATTCAGAATACAGGTTCCTATCAGGATTTTCTCAAGATTCTATTAAGGATCCTCTCAAGATAATGAGAGAGGATTCTATCAAGATTGTATCGAGTTCTCGTCAGGATCTAGGTCAAATATTTGTATCAAGATCCTGTCAAGAGTGATAGCCACATCAGACGAGGATCCTGGCAAGAAAATAATAAGATCCGTCAGAATATGAAAACAGACTAATCCTGCAACGCTTCAATTAGGATCTTGTTCAGAACTTTTTCAAGAATATGCGTTTCCAAAACTTCCAAGACAATATCAATTCTAATCACGATCTTGATAAGAACATGTAAAGGATTTAGCAGAGATCTTTACAGGTTACTGCTTACTCCATTCATCCATGCCAATTTCTTGAGATAGCCTTGAAGGATCTTTCAGAATCATAAATCTCAAGGATCCTGTCAGGTTTGTTTCAGGATTCTATCCAAGATTTGTTCACGTTCTTGCTCAGATTTTTTCTGAATTGAGTTTGTACGATCTTACTGATCCTAGTCTAAATCCTAGACATTCCTTGAAAATTCCTGCCAGGCTCTTCCAGGATCCTGATCCTACAGGATCTTGTCAAGTTTGTCTTAGGATCCTGTTTTGAATCCTTGTATTTTCCGTGCTATAGTATATTTCAAGACTAAAGAGAATTCTGACCAGGATTTCTTCAGGTTCCTGTTCATATTATGTTTGGATTGATAGATCAAAATCCTGTTAAGATTCACTCAAAATTCTATTTAGAGTCTTAGCAAGAATAACAAGAAAATATTACTGTAAGATTTTTCCAGGATTTTATCCAGATTCATCCAACAGGTTTACCTCAGGATTTTTCTAGGAAATGAAAATCGATCAGAGAAGGATCTGGACAAGAAAGAAACTGAGATCACGTACGGATATGGATAAAAAAATCTTATCAAGCTCCATCCAAAATCCTGATCTATTTCTTCGTTGATACAGCCGGAAGGATCTTTTCTAAACTTCTTCAGGAACGTATTAGGATCTGATCATGCAAAAATATTTCAAAGTCTAAGGGAAAGATACTAAATGTTCTCAGGATTTTGACAAAAAGAAAACAACTGGAGACTATTAGGATCCGTTCAAATTTTTATTTGGCTCATATCCCGACTTTATCATCAGGATCCTGATAAGATTCATAAACAATTCTGTTCCTAAACTTGAAAAACAACAGAAAAGGGTTTCAACAAAATTGTGATTAGATTCCGCCAGAGATCCGTACCAGATCCTTAAGTCCCTTGACACAAATAAGTTATAATACCAGACTCTATGTCTGACCAATATCATCCTTAAGAGATCTGGGAAGAATCTGTTAAGATCTTCACTTTCAAGTCTATGAGTTCATGGTATCAAGATAATGCAAAATGAAGCAGGATCCTGTTCAAGATTTCTTAAAGATCCTGCTAGGATTTTATATAAAAATTACTCATTCTCTGTTCAAAATCTTGGAAAGAAATAGTAGAAAGAATCATTTTAGAACATATCAAGTTTTCGTTAGGATATCTTAAGGATCTGCTTGGTAAGTTCCATAGTGACGTCAGGCAAGGATCTTGCCAAGTTTTGAATAGGAATGCGTGTCCTTTCCTACTTATTTCGAATTCGAGAGTCTCGTGCAAAACGTCTTCACGATTCTCTGCAGGTATTCAGAATCCATTACCTTAGTTTTATACTAAATCATGCTAAATATCATAAAAATTTTGGCAAGATATCAAAAAGACTCAGTCAAGATTTTGTCTCGATCATATTTAAATTTTATTACAAATGTGAAAGTCAAGATCTTTAACGGATCCGAATTTTTTCCTTCGAAGAAACTCGATTAGGCTTGGATAGAACATGAAGTCAAGATCCTATCAGGATCATGTCAAGGTTACGCCTGTATATAAGATGAAACGCCTGCCATGATCCTGACAAGATTTTCTGTATTCGATTGCACGCTGGCGCCAATACTTCTAAGTGATTTTTACAATATAAATTATTATTAAATCACTTCATTTGTAATTTAAATATTAATTAAAACTAAAAATAAAATAATTTTTGGGTTTACGTAGTGGTGGCCATAGAGAATTTAATCGTTGTACACACATTTTTTTTGATTGGACGTATTTGTTCAACGAATTTTTCTCTCTTTCCTTGCATGTTTATTTGAATCTTTTCCTCGTAAACTTGGGCTTGAGAGAATTTTTTGAAAATTTAACTCATGGCTACTACAATGTCTACTGCATCAAAACGTTCAAAGACAATTGAGCCTGAACATTTTTGTTTCGTTTCTTTTCCATCAGAAGGAACTCATGGAATATGGCCTGAAAATCTTATTCGTACTAAAGGTAGATTTGGTTTTCAAGCAAAATTTGGTGAACAATGGTATGAATGTCGTGTTGAAATGGAAGGTATTTAATTATTTACTAGTCGTAAAATCTAAATATATCTTTTTTTTTATAAAGGAACAAAGGAAGAATGTGAAGAAGCACAAGATCTTTTAGAAAAAAGTATTTCACCAAATCAAAAACAATGGTCTTCAGCTGAAACTGAATTATCCGATAATGAAGAGAGTGATATTACTAGTAGCAGCGATGATGTAAGATATTTATTTATTATCTTCTTTTTTTAATCTTTCATTATTTTAATATTACAGGAAAATGAAAACAATAACAAGGAAAATATTAATAAAAACCGTAGTAAAAAAAACAAGGTCAAAACAACAAACAAGAAATCTATCATCCATTCAACTGATGATGAAGTTGAAATATTGAAAGATATTAGTTCATCAATTAATAAAAGTAATTTTCAGTTATTGTATAACTGTATTGTTTTATCATTTTAAACATGTTGTGTGATTTTTTGAATCCGATAAACTTATCAAATAGACGAATATGAGAAGAGTTTGTCGTTGACTATCTTTCAATTTAGAACGTAGTAATCATTCCAGCAATGAATCGGTTTCAAAAAAAGTCAAATCCGATGATAAAACAACAACAACAACAATAACAACACTTGAACAATCATCATCATTGACTACCTTACATCCTGATATTGTTAAACAAATATCGGATATGATTAAGAAAGAGTCATCAGAAATGAAGAAGTTGTTAAAAAAGATTTATCAAATGCAAAAACGAACATCTGACGTACCTAAGGTACAGTTTTTTATACAATATCAACATTTAATGTTTGTACTTATTGACAAATATTTGTTGAATGAGAAAGGGATATGTCGAAAACTTAATGAAACTAAAGAAAAATTTAGCTTATCGTAGTTTTTTTTCAGACAGGTCATCCACCACCTTCACAATCAGAAGAAATGGTAAGTAAAAACAACCAACATAGAAAATGAAAAATTATTTACATTTTAGGTCGAAAACAACGTAAACTTGATGACAATATCTGCTACAACACCTAGTAGATATTTATTAGCAGCTGCACGTATTGTTTTAACTCATGACCAATTTAATAATGGTTATTTACCGGATTTTCGTGGTGACAAAACTGGGCGTGTGCCAATTCCTGAAGCAGCTGTTATGAAATTAAAAGGTTTATCAATATACTCTTCTTTTCTTAATTTTTATCATTCTTTTCCGCAGAGGCTGTTCGTAAAAGATTTAGCTTTAAAGAAGCAGATATAGAAAATATTTGGAAGTCAATTCGAACAAGCCTCGTACAAAAGGTTACTGATGTTCGCAAACGGCAAAGTGAAAAAATTCAAATACAAGAGCAACAACCAATTCGTTCAGCTGAAGAACAAATTGAAATAGTTTCTAATACAACTGTCAATCAAACAGCGGTAAGTTATAGAGGACTAGTTGTAAATCGTGTATTGGTATTGGAGAAATGTATCGATCAGAGAAATTATGTGGTGCTTGTTACTCATCGACGGCAGATAGTATTTGCTCAACAATTCAATGTATTCATGAAGAAATGAAAATTCCGTCAGATGATATGGTGGAAATTGTTCTCTTTGATTTAAATGAACAAATGAAGCTATTAATCAATAAAAATCTAACTCTTCTTCAACAATATCAGAGTGAAGCAAGAACAAAAACAACATTAGATGCAAATGATATTGTTTGCGGTGACATTTATCAATCAATATTAAATATTAATACAGATTTTTTTGTATCAGTTATGATTCATAGTGACGGTATGCCACTTTATAAATCAAAAAATCGTAACGCATGGCCAATATTAGGTGCTGTTCTTGAACTTCCACCTTATGCACGTAACCGTGCTGATAATACACTTCTCCTGTCGCTTTGGATAGGAAAAAAAAAGCCAGACTTCAGTATTATTTTTAAAAAATTATCTGAACAATTATCTTGCTTAAAAAAAACAGGTGTTGAAACAATTAACAATCAAAATGTAACAATCATTTTTCCTATGTTAATGGGAGATATGCCTGCTTTGTCTAGTATGGTCCAATTTGTGGAACATAATGCCTTTTATGCATGTATGTTCTGCAATACAAAAGGGACCTATAATAACGATGGGCATTGTGTCATTTTTCCTTTGGACAACGGTGCTGAATTGAGAACGAGCGAGAATTTCGAAAGATGTGCTCGATATGCTGATTCAATGCATGTCAGAGTAGATCGAGAAAGAACAATGGGTTTAAAAGGTATAAGTGCTTTTTCCGAAATTCTCGACGTTCCTTTACCACATTCCGTTGTTATTGATCCAATGCATACAGTATTTTTATGTCATTCTAAAAAACTTCTTATTCATTTACAAACATTTATTACAAAAGAAAATCTTGAAAAAATTCATTTAAAACTTCGATCAATAAATTATATTCATGATATACTTCGTCGACCACGTTCATTTACAAATGTAAAAAAATGGAAAGCATCAGAAATTCGATTATTTATTTTATACATAGGATTACCAATTCTTGCTGAATTCTTACCAGTCGAGATTATTGGAGATTTAGCACTTTATAATGTTATACTTCGTCTTTTACATGATCATTGGGATGATGATAAGAAATTATCCGACTCAATTTCTTTTTTATTGAAGCTTTACATTGAAAATTTGTTAAAGCATATCAATGCTGGTTTATATCCAACAAATTTACTTACTATTTCAACTCATACTCATCTTCATTTACCTTTACAATGCAAAAAATTCGGACGATTAAATTGGTTAACAAATTTTGTTTTTGAAAGTTTTCTTGGTTTTTTGAAGGGATTTGTTAAGGGTTCTTCTGGTGCTGGAAATCAAATCGCTTTTGCATTTATATCAAATTTTTATCTTTCAAAAACAAAAGAAAATGCCAGTCGTTCATTTGGTCATTTCTGCATTAATAATGATACTTTTGGTAGTAATATCCTAAAAGAAGCAATAGATGAAACAACAAGTCATTTTTTGAATGAAAATGGATATATTTCTTCGGACACAATTTATTTTTCTCGTCTTCACCATCTTAATATTACCTATCATTCTTTTCTTTATTCACGAAAAGGTTCATCATGTAGCTATTTAGTTTCTTATGAAAAAAATGATGTACTTATGTATGGTTATATTCTTTTTTTTCTTTCAACTGATAGAAATTGTTTAGCTGTAATTCAAAAACTATCTTGTGTTGATTATTCTTTAACTTCTTGTTTTTCATCTTACAAGTATATAACTGCTATCAAAGATTTTATTGACAATGTATATATTGTTGTTAAACGTGTACAACCTTCTATGTCGAAACTTGATCAAGTTGATATTTGTGATATTAAATCTCTTCGTTCTCGTTGTTTTTCTGTTCCCTTTGGTAATGAATTTATGATTCTCACCAACTATTCATTTGCCTATGAGCATAATTAAATAAAAATTTAAAGTAAAAAACTATAATTATTTGATTGACCATATGATAAAAATATACAAATAAAAGAAAAAGATAACATAAAAGTCATCTACAACTTAACTTGAAAACGAGAACACAGTCCAGCTTGGTTAGCTGTTCAGTTCACGAACTGAAGGTTTAGAGTTCAAATCTCTATGTGTTCAGATTTCTTCTGTTCTGTTTAGATAATCCTGCCACAATCCTGAAACAATCGTCGCACGATGTCGGTAAGTTCTAATCTTCTACACATGCTAATTAAGTCTCATTCATTATGTTGTAGCAAATTCCTGACAAGAACTTTCAGCAATATTAGATAGAAACTTGATAGACAACGGTAACATAAAATCCTGAGCAGATCCGGAATAGTTTTTTTGGCATAAAACCTAACAATCCTGAAAGGATCTTTCAAAGATTTTGATACCATCCTAAACGATTCCTTTTATATTCCTGATATGAATCCTGACAGGATCCTGCTAAATCATGGCTACACGCTCCTTTCAGGATTCAATGGTTTCCTGGCAAAATCCTTATTTTCAAGCAATGGTAATCTTGTTGATATCCTTGTTTTTGCCGATTTGAATCCTGATCGGATCCGGCTAAACCGTGGCTACACGTTTTTTTCAGGATTCAATGGTTTCCTGACATGATCCTTATTTTCAAACAATGGTAATCTTGTTGATATCCTTGTTTTTGCCGATTTGAATCCTGATCGGATCCGGCTAAATCGTGGTTACACGTTTCTTTCAGGATTCAATGGTTTCCTGACACGATCCTTACTTTCAAACAATGGTAATCTTGTTGGTATCCTTGTTTTTCCTGATTTGAATCCTGACAGGATCCTACTAAACCGTGGCTACACGCTTCTTTCGGGATTTTGAGATTTCTTGGACCGAGCCTGATGTTGTAATAATAATAAACAGTTAAGAATCCTAATTGCTTCTTGATTAAAATCCTGTCAGGATCCTAATAAACCGTGGCTTCACGCATCTTTCAAGATTCAGTCGTTTCCTCAGGAAAAAATGGCAAATCCTTTCAAGATCGTTATCTGATTTGCCGAAGATCTGCTACCGAAGTATCAAGGATTTTCCCTAGGGATAATTCAGGGTCGTATTCAAAAGGAAACATCAAGTCAACAATTACGTCGCAGCAGCAGATTACTCAAAAAACAAACACAATCTAAATCACAAATCCAACAGTACGAACAAGACATATACTTTTATAAACCTAATTCTGCCTTGGGTAAACACGTAAAAAACACAGGTCATTCAATAGACTTTCAAAATGTCCATATGTTTAACCAAGATCAAAATTCATACCGGCTCTTGATCAAAGAATCCATCGAAATCCGCGCGCGACAACCAACACTTAATGGCACTGATAAATCTGTTCCCTTATACGTGTTTCCTGAAGGATACAAAATATCTACCCATCTACTCAAAAAATACCGAAAATAAACAAAAACACTCTTTACTACACTTCCAACAATTCAAGTAAACCAAAACAAGTTCATTCGTTTTTTTATTCTCCATACCGATTATTCTATCACGTCAGACATATAGACCTAATCTCAAACATTAGTCACTCCCTATAAAAACACAAAAAAAGATTCATTTATTCATTTCCTGCACTCATTTATCTGCAGCCACTTAAACAGCCTCTCTTTGAGTTACTAAATTTTTATTGTTCTAAATCTTGTAAGTCGAACAGGACAAACTAACAACAAAGCTTAGAGTAATTTTAATGATGCGTTAGTAAAACTAGAGAGCTCTATCATATATTAACTAAAATCACTTACTATATCATTTTTTTAAAGCATTATTGCCGCTATGAGCGTGATGATCCTAAAGGGGCATCAGAGCTCAACAGTAGTTCGTACGAGTGTAAGATGAAAAGAAAAAAGAAAAAATGAACCCGTAGGCATAATCAAACAAACTTGAAACGAATACGAAAAAAAAGAAAGAACAAACGAACAAAACATAAAAAGTAGGCCCAGTAATATAATGAAAAAAAAACAAATACAAGCAGTAATACCAACTTGTTCGAAGATAAGCATGTGCGTATTGTTCTTATTCATTCCTTCCTCTTTTTCGTTTTTGCTTCTTCTATACCCAGGCATTCAGCCTGACTCCATGTTTATCGGATGTTCTCCCTTTCTTTTTTCATCTCCCCATCCCTGTATGATTCATTACTATTCTCGCCTCTCTCTCGCTCTCCTCTTCATTTTTTTGTCAGCATGACCTTTTAGCAACTTCAACTACATTTCACTAACTGAAGCTTACCTTAAATAATGCTAAACTCAAAAATTCTTTCACATTATGTTCTACTGAAGAATCCGAACTTCCATGTAAAGTCATCCATCACAATATCTGTCCTACACCATCTGTAGAAATTAACTTCATGTTTCGATTTTGTTTTCGTTTTTACTTAAATTATATATACAAGTCCTATTTCATTATGATTATTATTTTCATTTTCTTTTTATGATTATTTTATTTAAATTCGAAGTTCAATAGGCACAAACATAATATCATGCTGAATTAATACGAATACTGATGATGGGCCGGTTGAAGCCCGAAAGCTCTTATTAAAATAATATTATTATCAAAATCATTGAATATATATATAATTAATAGAAATTAACTTCATGTTTCGATTTTGTTTTCGTCTTTACTTAAAAGGGTATAACATATTAAAAAATTGTTTAAATCGGTTGAGACAAACAGAAGTTATTAGCGAAATACAGCTGAACCATCAATTGTACCAAAAAGTTGCAATTCACTCATATATATGATCACACGCATCAAGGGTTTGAACGAAAAGAAAGAGATGATGATATGTAATCAAAGATATCACGTCCAGGGAAATAGAGAGAAGAGAAAGAAAACATACTGTGAGGGCAGTGCCCGTAACAGATGCCTTTGTTGAACAAACAGGAAATTTGTATTTTCTGCAAGATTTTTCAATTCACTACTAGCAAACAATTAGGACGTAATTAAAATATAAGAGATAACGAAAATGCCGGAGGTAATGAAAATAATGGATATATAGCAGGTGACTATTAGATGTTTTTTCAGAATTTCTTCAGATACTCAAGTAAGTACTACCATATAAGATGTAGGAGAAACTAAATATCTAAGAATACTGAAGATTGGAATCCACTACTTATGTGTTCTTGGTTTGTATCCCGATCCCAGTCACAAAATATTTTTTCACTTCGGTCTGAACAAAAAAACAACTGTTTTTGATCAAGAAAATACTAGTCTCGCGTCAACTAATTTATTCAGCAAAGAAAAATGCGATAGTATAGTGTAACAGTAATAATAAGGTTGAGATAGCTCGCACGACTCTTCAAATTTTTATTAAATATTATCCTCGAAGTTCATGATATTGTTTTGTGATACAGATACTTTATCGGTTCTTAATGATTATGGATTCGATAACTCTCTTATTTAGGAAAAACCAGATCATTTTATTATTAAGATTATAACCAGGGTTACCAAATCGATATTTCCGAAACCAGGAGATCTCCGAAAAAAAACCAGGAGTTCACCAGGACTTTCATTTTTTAAATCAGGAGAAAAACCAGGAGATTTTTTTTTCGAAAATGAGATAGCATTTAGCATCATTTTGTAACGGAAAGCTGTATTTTTCCTTGTATACGCGCTTGCTACTTTATTCTCATAAGGCATTTATAGCAACATTTGCTGGGAAGGGATATAAAAAAACAATAACATAATTACAAGTATTTTATATTATTAATCTTTTCATATTCGTTCAAAACATATCCAAACGGAATAAAAGTTCATTTGTAAGCTGATATGAAACAAAAAAAATAAATATAGTAACAATTGTTTATTTACTGTACCGTCCGTGGCACTTTTGCCGAGTTAATCTAATCCGAAAAAAGATGATATTTTTTTCGTGTTGGCTTTTCCCTTGGTTAAGCATGTCGCTAAAATTCGAGATGAAAAAAAACCAACAAACCAGGAGAAAATCGTCAAAACCAGCTCCTGGTACCAGGAGATTCTTTCGCCAGGAGAAAGGCTCAAAAACCAGGAGTCTCCTGGCCAAACCAGGAGGTTTGGTAACCCTGATTATAATAGCAAATAATCTAGCAACCGTTATTTCTCGATATTCTCAGAAACATGACATTTCATGCTAGATTTACATAAGCATGGGAG